ATTCCAGGACCCCAGGATCATGACCTGAGCTGAAGGCAGGCTCTTAACCGCCTGAGGCAACCATGCACCACTAAACTTTTGCTATTAAAAGTCACTGTTACAAAAATGAAAAAGCAAGCTATAAACTTGGGGAAAATATTTGCAAAACACATATCTGGCAAAGGATTTTTTCCTAGAATACATTAAAAAAAATTTCAACTCAATCATAAGAAATCAAACAATTAAATTAAAAATGTGCAAAATTCGGGCGCCTGGGTGGCTCAGTTGGTTGGTTGAGCGACTGCCTTCAGCTCAGGTCATGATCCTGGAGTCCCGGGATCGAGTCCCACATCGGGCTCCCTGCTCGGCAGGGAGTCTGCTTCTCCCTCTGACCCTCTTCCCTCTCATGCTCTCTATCTCTCATTCTCTCTCAAGTAAATAAATAAAATCTTAAAAAAAAAATGTGCAAAATTTTTGAACAGGTATTTTACCAAAGAAGAAATCTAAATGGAAATAAGCACATGAAAAGTTGCTTAACATCATTAGTCATTAGGGAAGTGCAAATTAAAACTATAATAATGTACTACTACATACTTACTACATTGGCTAAAATTTAAAATATGGATCATACCAAGTGTTAACAAAGATGTGGAGCAACTGGAACTCTCCTATATACTGCTGGTGGGAATGTGAAATGTTATAACCACTTCGGAAAATTGGCTGTTCTTAAAAAGTTAAGCAAATACCTTATATACTACCTAACCATTCCATTCCTTGGTATTTGTTCAAGAGAAATGGAAGCCTATGTCCACACAAAGAAGGGGCACGAGGACACTTTTGGTGGTGATGGATATGTTCATTATCTTGATTGTGTTGATAGTTTCACAGGTGCGTGCATCTGTTATACTCATCAAATTGTACACGGTAAGTATGAGCAACTAATTGTCTCTTATATTTCTTTTTTTTTTAAAGATTATTTATTTATTTATTTATTTGACAGAGAGAGAGAGAGAGAGCACAAGCAGGTGGACTAGCAGGGTAGAGGGAGAGGGAGAAGCAGACTCCCTGCTGAGCAAGGAGCCCAATGGGGGGCTCTATCCCAGGACCCTGAGATCATGACCCAAGCCAAAGGCAGTTGCTTAACCGACTGAGGCACCCAGGTGCCCCTGTCTCTTATATTTTAATAAAGCTGTAAAAAATATATTAGTTAAGATGTCTTTAACTGCAGATCACAGAAAAATCAACTCACAATAGCTTAAAGAGGAAAGAGGATTTAAGTTGAAATTCCCATGCTTAACAATTAGAGTAGAGGTAGGGGGCTTCAGGATTGGTTAAATCGGTGGCTCAGTGACATAATCAAACCTCAGTTCCATCTTTCCACTATGTCACTCTCAGTTGTTGCCTTAATCTTTGCTCTGGTTTCCCTGTTGGGTCACAAAATGGCTGCCACAGTTCCAGACATCCCACCCAGACTCAACATTGTTTACCACCTAAATCTAAACCCTGACCAATTCAGGCACTAACAGGCTGTTTGGTTTCTTCTATGGGTGTGGCTCAAGGAATTGCTTCTCAGTGTAGGCTTCTCTTAGAGGAAAAGTTTAGAAGTAGCAGGAACAGACCTCACTAGAGCTGGTCAGGGAAATTGAGGCTCAATTTCATCTAGCTTATGACTCCAGCTTTTTGCAACAGAGTCAGTAACTGTTCTCTGACTACAACATGAGCCATGTGGAGACAGTCACATCTCAGAGAACATCATTAGATGGTTTTCTTGAAAGAGGAGGAACAATGGGGGCAATGGGGTCCATACAGAGCTTTTCTTCTGCTTCTGATCACACAGTTTTTAATACATATGAAGGTAAGTTGGGGGTTTGATAGAGCATAGTCTAGGAGTTCCAAACTTAATGGCTGTAAGAACCATAAGGTAACACAGATGTGTGAATCTGATCAGGTATAAGACAATAGGGAGTGGTGAGGCCTATGGTGATCTAGACAGTAAAACCCTACCCCCACCAAAAAATAGAGCATGGGGAAACAAAACCCCTATGGGCCAATTTGACATCTCTAGAGGAGTTTGAGAACAAGGGATATACATTATAGTTTCCAACTGCTGTTGCATCAAATTGTCACAAACTTAGTGGCTTAAAACAGCACAAATCAATTTTCTTATAGTTCTAGATGTCAGAAGTCTAAAATCAATGTGTTGGCAGGGCTTTGTTTCTTCTGGAGGCTTCAGAGGTGAAGCCATTTCCTTGCCTTTTTCAGCTTGCATTTCTTGGCTTGTTGTCCCTTTTTGTATCACTCCAAACTCTGGTTTCTGTTGTCACATCTCCTATTACCTACTCTGGTCTCCTGCCTCTCTCCTATATTCACATGAGGCCAACTCGGATTATCCAGGATAATCTTCCCATCTCAAGATCCCTAGCTGAATCGCATCTGCAAAGTCCCTTTTACCATGTAAGGTAACATATTCACGGGTTCCAGGTATTAGAATGTGGAGATCTTTAGAGGTCCATTATTCAGTCCCCATGTGATATGAAAGCTGAACTGATTAGACATCTATTCTCTAAGGGGCCATGAAAACTCTTGGGAAAGGAGAGAAGAGCCTAGTGAAGGGGCTTGGTGTGGACTAAAGCCTGGATTGTAGAGGTGGGTCCTGGGCTACAAGGGTAGAGCCCAGGAAGGAAGGTGGCTTCTGGTGAGCACTCTACCAGGGCCAGGCAGTGGAGAAACCCCCTGAGTGTGCCATTCTGGGCAGGACGTTCTCAGAGCGGCAGGCAGAGAATCTGAGGGTGGCCACAAAGGCCCTACCAATCCTGGCCAAGGATAGGACTTTGTGGTCAAAACTGGGTATAGCATCTGAGACCACTGAAGTGAGGCACAACAGTATCAAAACTCAGGCTCAGGGCCAATGTGAGAGGATGGAATGCAAGCCAGAATTCTGCAGATGACTCCTTGGGGAGACAAGTCAGAAGTCACTTACTGGTGACTTAAAAATGGGAGGAAGGTAGGGTTCCCCTTTGGTCAAAAGTATGGGGTGAGCATAGGAAGTCCCTGGCCAGGAGCTGGGGAAATGGGTTCTGTGCAGACGGTGTGCACTGAGTCAACACCAGCAGTTGGGCCAGTTGAAGGCGTGTGAAGTGGGGGCAGGCCAGGGGCTGTCTCTGCTTGAGGTGGATGCAGATACCAGGTGATCTAAGCCCAGAGATGAGAGAGCCACAGAAGTCAGAGCATGTCAGGGTTGCTGGCAGGGTTTTGAGGCAGGGATAGGGCAAGTCACTGGTCCCAAGACCTCCAGATCTACAGAAACAGGGCTAGATGCAGGTGGCCTGCCTCCCAGTCCTAGTCCGGTCTCCCTGCTTAAGGCTGGTGAAGATGTCATCCTAGGTGCCCCCTTGTCAGCCATGACTCAATGCTGCCTGAGAAATAGCAGCAGAGGGAGGGCTGGTGGCCCTTGAGCATCTACTGGATCCTACAGTGGCCCAGAAATTCTTGGGGAGCATGGGGCATATCTGCACACGGGGTACACCAAGTCCCCAGATGTTCCAGGAGGTGGAGTGGGTTATCATAATTTCAGCTCTGTCCACTTTGTCCTGAAAATCCTGCTGTCTGAGCTGCTGTGAGCTGTCCCAGGGCTTTGTGGCTTTTTCAGGGGAACTCTGGGCTACCTACCCTCTCCAGGTTGCCCTGATTCAGCTAGAGGCCCAGGATCCCACCTGGAAAACAATGTGCACAGCTTCAGAGGTGTGGACTTTCCTTGAGGGATGAGGGGCTGGGGGGCTGAGTCAGCTGCAGGGGAAAGAGTAACAGGCAGTGTACCAGGAGACAAGCATGACCAAGCAAGCACATTTACAGCGGGGCATGGCTGGTGCCCTGCCTCCTGCCACTTGTGGATGCTTATAGGGCTGTCTTTTCCATGCCCCCGAGTCTTCCTTGAAATGAGCTCCCTTGCTGACGCAGTGATCAGATATCCTTGTCTCTTCCTGACTGTGACCCCTGAACTGCCTTTCATCCCTCCTTTCACATGGTTCCTACCAGGATTCTCCGCCTCCCCCCCTTAGCCTTCTCTCTCTCTTTTCAGGCCAGGAAGGAGGAGAAGAAGGCCCTGGGCGTGCAAGAGACCAAGGTCTCAGTGCCTTACAACTCTGGGCAGAGGGGTCAGGTCCATGCATTCCAGAGCCGGATTGTCTGCATTCTAATCCTGACTCCACAATTTACTAACGGTGTGAATTTGGGCAAGTGACTTAGCCGCTCTGTGCTTTGATTTTCTCAGGTGTAAGATGGGGGATAACAATAGTACTTATCTCTAGAAAGTTACTGGGAGGATTAAATGAGTCAGTGTATGCAAGGTGCTTAGGACAGTGCCTGACACCAAAGAGGCACTCAGTGCTGGTGCTCTCTGGTTGGGTTCTACCCTCCCCTTTCCCTCCTCCCTTGTCTCCACTAGCCTTCCCCCCCCCCGCCCCCCACCGCCGGGGCCTGCAGGAGGCAGAACAGCAAAGAATATCCATGGAGGGTGGTGGGAATGTTAGGGTAGCTAGTGGGCAGAACCTCCAGCCGCAGAGCTGGAAGTGGCAAACTGGTTTTGAGTTTGGACCCTGGTGGAATCTAGAGGAGCAGGGGCCAGCTTCCTGACATCACAGCCTCTGTGGTCCTTTCTCTCCCGCTTGGCTGCCGGAGGTTCCCATTGGCCCTCACCGAGGGGGAGGAGCCTGAAACAAAGCCTCTGATTGGCTGCTTTCATTTAGTCCCTTGTCAATTTCCAGTCTGCTAGGGAGGGGGAGGAGCGTAAGATATTTAAAACTCACAGAAATATTTGAGTAAGGTAGAGAAGGAAGGAGGGAAAAGGGTGGAAAGAGGGGCTGGGGAGGGGGTCCAGGGAAGAGATTCTTCTCCAATTCTCTGGGATGGTTTATAAAGTCCTGGGGGTTGAGGGCAGGGGACTGGACTGTATGGACTTTTGGGCCACTGGCTGATGTGGAGCGGCTATTACATTCGAGACAAGAGAGATAAAAGGAAATGCTGCACACAAACCTTTTAATGACGCGGTCTTGGTGGAATCTGTTCAGGGCAGAAGACCCCTGGGAGGTGCTTTCCTGAACCACAGCCTGGACCCTTGGGCCGCCATTTCCCCTTTCCCTTCCCGGAGGGGGTGGCTCAGGACCTGTAGGACCCTCACTCCCTTTGGGGCTCTGTGAGGCCCCTTCCCAGTGCTCAGAGTACATTCTCTCTTGCTGCGGCCTGGAGCGGGACCATCTTCTTCCGCTGCTCTTGCTCCTGCCGCCTTGGCTTTCCTCTCCTCCTGGGGGCAGGAGAGCGGTGTCCTGGGTATGCAGCCTCCAGACCAGGGCTAGGAGCTGGGGCCTTCCCGGGAGTCTCCACTCAGCCGTGCCCAGCTCCCATCTCTCTGCCCCATCTACTGCTCCCTGGAGCCAGGAGACCCAGGAAGGACTCTAGACCCCCAGCCAACTGGGGAAGTGGACAAAGAGCCCTGGCCTAAACAAGGAGGCCTGGGTTTGAGTCTCGGTGCCACCCCAGCCTGGGCGTGTGACCCGGGGTAAGTCCCTGCTCCCACCTGCTTTCCATGTCCTGCACGGTGTCTGGCAGTGGCTGGCCCAGGGTCTCTGGCAGGAGGGCAGTGACAGCGCTGGCGGCCACGGGCACCGCACCGTAGATGAAGAGAGGCACGGAGGGGTAGAGCTCAGCAGTCATGCCCACCAGTGGGCTCACGATGCTGCCCAAACGGGCCATGGTGCTGCCCATTCCCATGCCTGTCTGCCTGTAGGGCCCAAGGTGGGGTGCTGTCACTCAGTGCTCTAGCGTGAATGTTGAGGTGCTGGCTGAATTTGGGGTCAGGGCAGCTCAGGACGAAGCCCCCTGGTCCCTCCTCAATTCCCCCTTTGATTAGCAAACCAATCTGGCATTTGTTTTGGAGATTAAAACAAAACAAAATAACAGGGTGGGAAGGGCTCTGGCCAGAGAATCAGGAGGCTGAAATTTGCCTCTGCCCTTAACTTGCCATGTGACCCGAGGAAGAGTCCCTTTTCCTCTCCGGGCCTCAGTTTCCTGAGCTGTCAAATGAGACAGTTAAGTTAGACCAATCATTCTCAGATCTCCTGGGGGACTTTGAGTTCTAGTTGCCCCAGCCCACACAGTCCTATTGGGTTAGAATCCCCAGGAGAGAGGACCTGGAAGCTGCATGTTAAGACTATGTTAAGAACATTCTCTGAGAGAGCAGAGGTTAAAAACTTTGACTTAGGAGACAAACCGCTTGGGTTCAAATCCAAGCTTCCTCACTTACAAGCTGTGTGATGTGGGGGCCAAGTCACTCAACCTTTCTGTGGCTCAGTTTTCTCATTGGTAAAATGGGCTTGTCATGAGGATTCAATGAGTTGATATTTATAAAAAGTTTAAGAAGATGCCTGGTGCATAGTAAGTGATTTATACTGTTGCTCTTTCCCCTGAAATTCTGTGAGGGCGCAGGACAGCACCCATGACCCTGCTCATTCCCAGCAGCCTAGGGAAGCCTGGCCTTTCTTTGACATCTCATGTGAATTTTTCATCCCATTCTTAAAATAGACATGTGTTTCTTTTTTCTCAATGCAAAAATGCCTTCCCCCAATTTTGGCTCTCAAAAAGCAGTGCTGTGTTTATCCATACAGCTACCAAGCACCAGCATTATTAAATGTGGCTCTTGTGATAAGAAATTACTTTCCCGTTTGGTCTTTGGTTTCAGACGTACCACTTGGTTTATAGATGAAATTTAGATTTGGTGGCAGCTTCTAACTTGGGCTTTGGAGATCAAGGTGGGGTGGGGGAGGGGGAACTTCGATGAATTGCCTCTGAGATGTGTTTTCTCGGCTCTCAACCCTGCCCCAGATGGTGGCTCCTTTTGCGATCTTTTCCTTGGATCAGGTAAGGGCTTAGTGGGCAGGTGCATCTGTGTTAGCCACAAAGTGTATACTGAGCAGCTGATACACACCTTGCACGGATGGGTGCTGGGAGGGGGCCTTGGGCTATGGCACACTGGATGTTGCTCTGGGGTCTGACCCCTGTGTGGGGGGGGGATGTCTTGTCCCAAGACCCCTCCCACTAGGCTCCACTCACCGGATCACTGTGGGGTACAGCTCCCCAGTATAGAGGAAGATGCAGTTGAAGGAGGCAGCCAGGCAACCTTTCCCCAGCACAGCAAGAGAGGTTCGGACAATGGACTGATCTAGAGAGAGAAAGGAGGGGATCAGTGGGAGCTCGGGAGTGGGGGCTGAGAATCTGGGGATAGGGCTAAGGGTGAAGGACCAAGGTACTCGTGGGTGCTCACCCTGGGGTACCACCCCGTTGACCAGGATGCAGATGCCCGCCAGCAGCAGTGAGGCCATCTGGGCAGGCCGGCGGCCCAGAGAGTTGATGACAAGGAAGCCCACAAGTTTGGCAGGCAGGTCCACAGCACCAAAAATCACCTGGATTAGGTAGATGCTGACCCCAAAGCCCTGCAGGTCCATGACCAGCCCGTAGTAGGCAAAACTAGTGGCAAACCTAGTGGGGGAGGGATGAGGGATATGGAGTTTGTTAGGAAGGCTTAAAGGGGGGGCTGCTCATTCAAAATAGGGGTGAGCTACACTATGACCCTGCTTCAGAAGCTGGAATCTGCCTTGGCTAATCTTTCTTCAGACATTTAGTATGCATTTAGTCTAAGTGTGGGGTAGTCCTCCAATACCCCAAATTTCCCAATCTTCTGATAACTAGGATCCCCAGTGTATTAGGGGATTTTCACTTAGTTGTCATGTAAGATTTATATAGTTTTAATCTTTATCTTATCTGTTGATACTTTAGCTTATCTATTGATACTGGGCTGAGGGCAGGTGGATTTTCAAGCCGCATCTTTAGGGTCAAGGTGTTAGGAAAGGCCAGGCTTTGCAGACCTGTGCATAGTTCTGGGATGGTTGTGCTTCTTAACATGTCAGGAGCCCACAAAATGAAGCTCAGGTTATCAGATAAGACCCACAACCTGAGTAAATCCCAAATTGGAATGAAAAAATTCACTGGTAGAATTGTTGACCATGCTTCACCTAACTGTCATGGGGTTACTCTGGTGATGGGCTCAGGAGGGGAGCATATCAGAAGGGTAATGGGGAATGTTGCAACCGGAAAGGACATTTTTGGCTGATACCAGCCTTGGCCAACGTGTACTTCTGGAGATGAGTTTTAGGCATCTTATTGCCCGTGCTTGTGTTTCTGGCAGGCCCTGCAAGGCCAGTAAAGTCTCCAAATGTTTTGCAAGCCGGACTGGTCTCTGCCTTCAAGATGTAATTCTGTTGACTCTGGGGCTCACCAATCCTGATGAGGTGTTTTCATATTGGAACAGAGTTAATAAAAGGAGAAGAAGATAGAGAGATTGGTGCCCAGTGTGGGGACTGGAAGCGAACTGAGGGGAGGTCATCTGGTTCTTCAAGACTGTCCCTGGTGGAGGATTACTGCCTCTCATGGGAGGTCTGCTGACTTTTCCTCCCTTTGTTCTGGCTTCCTCCACCCATTGCATCCACTCTCTCCCTAGCCAGCCTTTTGTCTCTTGGTCTGTCTGTGTCTCTATGGCTCCATCTGTCTGGGCCTACCACAGCGTGGAGAGGCAGAAGAAGAGGTGGCGAAGGGCGGGGCAGCGCAGCAACTCCAAGGCGGAAACCTGGCCTTTGCCCATGGTCAGCTCCTTCTGCAGACTGGCCCGGAGCACCTGCCAGGATGGGCAGGGCTCAGGGCCTGGACTCCTCCAGAAGCTCCTCCCAGCCTAACCCCTTACTCAGGGAAGCCCTCTGAGACCTGGGTTCAGGGTTTGAGGGTAGAATCCTCGTGGGGTGTCATGGGAGGTCTTGGGGTGGGTCTCACCTCCATACTTAGCTTGGTCCCCTCTTCCCGCTTCCCATTGATCCAGGCCACTCTCTGCAGGGCCCTCAGGGTGAGATCTAGCCTCCCGGAGGAGGAGTACCAGCGGGCTGACTCGATGAAGAACCTGGGAGCAGGGGTGGGTGGGGGGGTGGGGGGTAGGTGTCAACATGGCTTCAGTTCCAGTAGGCTGGGCTGGGGGCAGGGGGTGGGCTTCCCAGGGGACTGCAGTGGGATTTCATTTCAGGCTGGGAAGCCAGGGGTTTTGCCAGATCCATCTCTCTAGGACCACAAAGCAGCATCCAGCTTGGTGATGACCCACTCCCCAACCCAGGAGCTCAGCGTTGAGGTGTTGGGTAAAGGCAGTAGCGCAGGCAGGGTGGAGAGCCGGTGGCGGGGGGGAACTGAAGAACAGGATCCCCGGGGCAGGAGGCAGATCCTTCCTCCCACAGCCTCAGTTCTCCCATCTGTCACGCGGAGGCACTGGCCTGGGTCTGACCTTCTGGCCTTGACCTTCTCTGATTCTGTGTGGTGGAGTGTGCAGTGGGATTTGGGGGATGTCTTGTCCCTTGCAGCCCTCTGGGCAGCCCTCGGGCACCCCTGCCCACCCTGGGCCCCACACACCAGGAGTAGATGAAGAAGGCGAAAAAAGGCACGGAGACCAGGAGCTGCAGGTGGCGCCAGTGGGGCACGGCCAAGGCCACCCCGGCCAGGAGAAACTGGCCCAGGCTGTAGACATAGCCAGTCAGGGTGCCCACACAAGCCCGCGTGTGGATGGGCATCCACTCCACATCTGGAAAGAGGGTGAGAACAGAGGGGTGCTGCTGACTGGGCTGCCTGGCGGGTGGAGACCCCTGGGCCAGGCAAAGACCCCTCTCTCCACCCAAACTTTGATCTGTCCTGGGGCTCAGTGGAAGACACATCAAATGAAGATGGGTGCCATGATGGGGGAAGTAGGGGACTTTTGGTGGAGGAAGGAATGGGAAGATGGGTTTGGAATCCCTAGAAATTGTCCCTTCCACTCTCCTGCTGTGTCTTGCTGCTCCCCAACCTACTGTCCTGGCCGGGGCCCCCTTTCCCTTCCAAGTGTCTCTGACCACTCAGTGCTGGCTTCCCTCAGCCTGGGCCAATTCAGTGGCCAGAGCAGCTTGGAAGAGACAGTGGTTTTCCTCGATCCAGGAGAGTCAAGGTGGAAGTGGGACCACCTCTCCGCTGTGGTCTGAAGAGGCCCAGCTTTGTTCCTTGTGGGCTCCTAATTCGGCTGCTGGGGCAGTGACTTGGACACGTAGACTGGGTTTTGGGGCTGAATTCTCTAGGTGTCTTGCCCTGGCCCTGGCCCCATCCCAGTTCATTTCTGTAGTCCAGAGAACCCCCAATCCATAGATTCCCTTCTGGGCTTGAGGGATGACCTTGGGTAGATTTTTGCCCTTGTCCCCAGTCTCAGGTTCCTCCTTTGAGAACCAGGGAGAAGGGGGTGATTTATCAGAGGATGCCCATTGATGGTTCATGGACAGACCATGCTCAGGCCATAAATGTGGTTGGTGTACATGATGCTGGCTTGCCCTATGTTAAAAATATTAGAATTAATTTCCAACATTACAAAACTGGGGTATTTTACATTAATAAAGAGGAGGCGGTAAGATCTGACAGCCCTGACCCTTCTGGCTGGAGCAGCTGAGTGACTGTGGCCCCTCTGGATGGGGCTGTGACCCCTTTGTCTACAGTCCTCACCATTCGCTAATGCCTCTTGTACCCAGTCGGCTTCAGTCATTTATGGGAACTGCCTGGCCCTTAAAATGGAGTTTGCAGTCGTGTCTAAATGAGGGGTCAGGATGGTATGAGTCTGGGAGAAAGGCTGTTATGTTGGCCCCCCAAAGTGGGCAGGCAGGACTCAGGAGGGATTGGCTGGGAGAGGAAGCCAAAAGGGGGCTGCTGGGTTGGGGGGTCAGAGAGGAGTGGGTAGGGATCTGCCCTGCCCTCCTGGCATCCCTCACTCAGTGTCATGCAGTTGAGGGAGATGCCAGCCAGCGACATGCCGGAGAGGAGCCGGAAGGCACAGTAGACGGGGAAGTTGGGAGCGAAGGCAGCACAGGTTCCTGAGACGGCCGTCTGCAGGTAGTTCAAGATCAGCAACTTGCGGCGGCCCAGCCTGTGGGGGAGGGGAGAACAGCAGCAGGGATCCTGAGGGCTGACTGTGCCAGGCAGGGTACAGAGAGGAGTGCCTGCCCTGGGGGAGGGTCTGGGCTGGTGGTCTTTTGAGGACCTGTGCCGTGTCCTGAGGCTGGCCCTGTAGGTCCTCGGACCAGCCCCAGGTGGTCAGGCCAACTTCCCACCTGGTTCCCATGAATCCAGCTGAGGCCCAGGCCCAGCCCGGCCGGGTGGCTCTATGCAGGACTGACCTGTCTGCCAGGTAGCCGAACACCATGGCTCCGAGAAGCACCCCAACCATGTACAAGGACTGGGCCAGTTGGCGTAAGGCCCTGTTAGAACACACGAGGTCCCACTGTGGGGAGAGGAGGCAAGGGTCAGGCGGAGATGAGCCTGGGTCGCCGGGCTCCCCTTCCCCTCCCTTGGGCTGGCCCTCTGAGGCCTATGTCACCCTGTTCCCCTGACATTTCCCTTTGCTGTTTGCTTCCCCGGTCTGGGTCGCTGAGAGACTTTTCTTGACTCTGACATTCCCCTTTTCTGTAAAGGCCCCCATCTTGAACCCCTTTCTTCATCTTCCCATCTTGGCCTCTGGAGAATCTGAGACAGTCTGTGTGTGTGTGCATGCGTGTGTGTATGCCTCTGTCTGTCTGTCTGTCTGTCTCAGAGGGGAAGGCAAGTCTGGTTGGCTTCTGGAGCAGGGGGCCCAGGTATCCTCACCTCAGTCACGATGGTGGAAGGGAAGGTGCTGTTGTCATAGATCCAGCCATTGGTGCAGGGCTCTGTGGCCCCCGTGCCGTTGGCCCCTGTGCCGTTGGGAGAAGGCGGTCCCTGTTGGGGGATGGTGAAGAGGAGGCAGGACTCCGGCTGCCCCTGCCTGTCCCGGGGCAGCCAGGCCTCCAGCTCCCCGTCCTTGCTGAGGTTGGTGTCGGCAGGCGGGCGGCAGTGGTGGGTGGGGATGGCAGCAGTGAAGTTCTGCAGGGTGTTGTGGGAGGCCATCAGGAGCAGGGGGAGGACCACCAGAGTGACCTGGATCTGCTGGAAGCGGCCGACACCCCCCACCTGCTGCAGGAGGTCGTTGAAGGCCATGGGGCCAGGCCCGGCCAAGCGGCTGGGGGCTGAGGACTTCTGTCTGTGAGTCCGTGTGCCTGCCGTCCTTAGCTAGAGGAGAGAAGCCGCTGTTGCTTCTGCAGCTGACTGTTCCTAGAGCTGACTCGGAGCTGGCTCTGTGGGGGGACAGGAGCCTGGCTAGCTGCCCCTCCTTCCTTTGCTCTCTCCGTCTTCTGTCCCTCCCTTTCCCTTGAGCCTCCCCTCACTTGGGGGTGGGGTACTCAGCTTTCAGGGTCTGTGGTAGCCCTGACCCCTACATGGGCAGGATTTAATCCTTGGCCTGGAGGGAATGAGTTAAAGTGTGACTTGGTATCAGAAGGATTAACCCTCTGAGTATCCTTGTGTCAGTGGAAATTCTCCAAGTGGGTATAAAGGGCAGGAGAGTGGACTGGAGTGGGGGTGGGGAGACGGGATGAAACTGGGAGGGCGTGTCTGGGCATCTGGGGGCCAGAGGCGGCCGGTGGGACCTTACTGTCTTCCTTTTAGTGAGAAGACAGGTCTCCAGGAAGTGTGGTGGCCTCTTAAGGGACTTCTGTCCTTTTTAGTGGACAGGATCCAAGCAGTCTGTCTTTGGGAAGGGTTGCCAGAGAAAATACAGAACTCCCAGTATCAGATCAACAAATACATTTTATTGTAGTGTAAGTATATCTCTAATATTACGTGGGACATACTTACACTAAAAAATTATTCATTGATCTGAAATTGAGATTTAACTGGGCATCCTGTATTCTTATTTGCTAAAATTGGCAGCCCTAGTCTCTGGTCTCCTGGGGACAACTCAGATCTTATGGGACCACAGCTTTGTTCAGTCGGAAGAAACTAAAGATGTCAGAGGCTACTTCTGAAGGACTGGGACTTAAGACCAACATCATACATGATGTAGATCGATTCTTCCAGTGTCTCAGCTTTTACCTTCTGGCTTATTCTGATTCAGAATTTTCCCTTTGTCTTGTTGTCTCTGTCCATAATTTTTTTGTTTTTGTTTTCATTTTTTCAGTTGAGCATGAACTTATTTTATTTGTAGGCACAACTCTAAGACAATCACTTGATTTCCTCTAACGGTTTGGCTTCTGAGCCCTGATCCCTCAAGATCAGGATTGTGCTGAGTTCTGATTGGATGGGCTTCTAGGAGCCCTGATTGGTTGGATCATGGGTTGGGAATGTCAATAGAGTGAGTTGCAACTTCTTGCTTTTATTGAATTGAAATTTTTTTTTTTTTTTTTTTATGTAGACTCCACACCCAGTGCAGAGCCCAGTGTGGGGCTTGAACTCATGGCCCTGAGATCAAGACCTGAGCTGAAGTCAAGATGCTTCATTGACTGAACCACCCAGACACCCCAACAACTTCTTGCTTTTAATTTGCATAGTGCATAGTATATAAAACATGGACTCTGGAGTTGGTTTACTTGGATCTAAATCCTCATTCCACATTTGCTGGTTGTGTAGTGAATGCAAATTGCTAAAATACTGTATTTCTTGGTATTCTTGTTTGTAAGGTGGGTATAATAGTCGTGTCTGCCTCGTTGGGTTATTGAGGGTTAAATGAGTGAATCCTTTAAGTAAAGATCTTAAAGTATCCACTGCCCTAGAGCTCAGTGAGTATGAGCTGTTCTTATTATTTGTTCCTGGTAAAAAGGTGAGACTATCATATGGATTTTAGAGAGAAAATAGGCCTAAGCACATCTTACCCTAAGAACAGTGATTCTCTACTGGAGGTGATTCCCCCCAACTCCCTCCACTCTCCAGGAGACATTTGGTAATGTATGGAGACATTCTTGGTTGGATTTAGATTCAAGTAAACAGACTCCAGAGTCCATGTTTTATATACTATGCACTGTACAAATTAAAAGCAAGAAGCTGTTGGGGTGCCTGTGTGGCTCAGTCGATGAAGCATCTTGATTTCAGTTCAGGTTTTGATCTCAGGGCTGTGAGTTCAAGCCCCGCACTGAGCTCTGCACTGGATGTGGAACTTACTTAAAAAAAAAAAATCAATAAAAGCAAGAAGTTGCAACATGCTCTATTGGCATTCCCAACCCATGATCCAGCCAATCAGATCTCATCAGATCACTGGGGTGGTTAGCAATCCTGGCGTGCAGTGGGTAGAGTCCAGGGATGCTGCTGAACATCCTACAATGCACAGGACAGCCTCCCATAATCAAGAATTTTCTGGACCTCAAATGTCATTAGTGCTAAGTTTGGGAAACCCTATCCTAAGAGATGTCTCAGACTTATTTTGAATAGTGATCAATCCCATACCTGCTTGGCCAAGGATATTCCAGGCATACAGATGACTCCTACCAGAACATTTCTAAGAATGCCCATGCTCTTATTGGAGTAGGGAAACTGTTTGCATGTTCTGCTGGAGTACAGCAGAGTAGCCTGGACTCTGAAGCATGGTGGCCCTTTCCTTTCCCAGGCATACCTAGCCAGTTTTATCACTGGAGGATTCAAATCAGGACCCCAACCTTCCTGGGTCCAGGCCAACATTCTTCTCCACCATGTTCTAACTTGATTGTTGGTTTGAGGTTTCATGCCAGACTATTCTTTGTGGTGTGTTTCCATTTGGGGTCTCTGGCTGTCCCTCCCTGTTACCTGCCTTGTATCGACTGTCCATCCACCTCACTTCATCAGATACTTTGGCATATATCCGAACAGCATGGATGGTTAGGGTTCTGGAGTTTTATGGGAGGTAGCCAGGCCCTGTATGAATTAGCTGATGCAAAGGGCCATGAAGGGAGGGGGAATTTCTCAGTTCTTCCAGGCATAAATCTCCAAGTCATATTGTTGAGCGGAAGCAGTTGTATTCCCAACGTCTCCTGTGAGGACTTAAGATTCCCTGCTATTGTTGTGCAGTTTACACAAACTACACTTTTGTATTAAGTTGGGAGGGTGTTTACTGTCTGTTGAGGTGCTGGGATGCATGAAGTCTTAGACTGCTTCAGACCTATTCTGTCTAACTTCAAAGCCAGATTGTTTCCTGCTGATTTAGAGGTGTGCACTGCCCAGCTAAAGAGGCCTTAGGGCTCATCCAGTCTCGTTATGTACAGAAGAGAATAGGGAGGCTCAGAGAGGGATGTAACTCAGCCCAGCTCCCCCCCCACCCCCACCCCCTGAATGTTGGTTCTGGGCTGGGACCCAGTGGGTGTCCAGATGCCTGACAACATTCTCCAGGCCAAGGTATATAAGAGCCTTGTGGCCTGGGGATATGAGGACAGCTGGACAAACAGCTGGGGCCTCTGGGGCCAATCTCCTGCCAGGACTTGGTGCCCTCATGGGGGCGTGGGAGGAGTGTTGAGGGCAGTGGGGGAGATGGTCTCTACAAGCACCCTCCCTTTCTGAGCGTGTGCCCAGCTTTGCCTTTGAGAAGAGCCCTCTCCCTAGTGCCTGACTAGCTCCAAGCCAGGCTGAGCCTGGAAAAGTTTCAACTGGAGGCTCCGGGGACTAAATTGTGGTTGGCTCCTGGGATCATCTGGCTAGTAAGGATACTTCCCACCAGCCTCCCAGCTCATGGAGGGTTTCTGGATGGAAATGCTACCATAGCGAATGATTGGCAGAATGAGAACTATCCCTTAGGGACATTCTGGGTCATTAAATACTCAGAGTTGGACTCCCTGGACTGACTGGAATGTGGACTTCAGTTCTGGCCATGTTCACCAAGAAGGGGTCAAATCCGGGACTTCTGATTGGCCAAGAGCCACAGAACCACATACAATCAGAGACGAATGCTGTCACTCATGTGAAAACTTCTCATGGTACAGATAAGGAGACCAAGGCCCAGAGTAGGCAATGGATTTGTCCTTGATCACACAGCAAGCGCATCTAGAACTCGGCCCTCTTGATTCCCAACTTAGATGTGTTATTAGGGTACAATGCACACCAGATTCTGAAGACTTATGATGAATTAAAGGCTGTAAAATATCTTTATTGATAATCTTTATGTTGATTACATGTTGAAATGGTAATATATGGATATTTTGGGTTAAATAAATTATTATCATATATACATACTTAAAATTAATTTTACCTCTTTTTAAGAACTAGCTACTAGGAATTTTAAATTACATAAGTGGTTTGGTTTCACTGGACAGTGCTGGTAAAGAATATTTGAGGAAGGGGTCTTAGGAAGGAACTCTGGGGAAGGTCAGTGTTCAGGAGACGATACAGGGAGAAGAGCTGCTTTTGGAATTGTTTGGTTTGGAAACCCTTGAGTTTAGCTTAAACAAAACAAAAGCTATTCAGAGAATTCAGGATATTTTCTTGAGCTCAGGGTCAGAAAATATATCCAGGGCTGAGGAGGACCTGGAATCCATTAAGAATCAATGTGAATAGTCTCACTGAGTCTTTTTGTCTGGGCCCCTGTGTCTTTGGTTCTTCCTTTCTCTGTGCCCTTTGCTTTGTTCCTTCTCTGCAACCGGCTTTCTCTGACCCACCGGCATTGGGGCCAGCCCACCCTCATGCTAACTTGCCTTCCCAGGACAAGGGCCAAGGCATGGACTAGAACCTCTGTGACTCAGATCCCCAGCCCAGGAGGGAATACATGATGAACAAAACTTGGATCAGGAGGGCCTCTGGTCCAGTCAGTCATGACCAGACCTAGAGGTCATGTAACTGTTCAGTTGGCAGGTTCTGGGGATGTTGACCTTTGAGGAAGGGGTGGGGGCAGGACGGGCAAAGCTGAGTTTTGTAGCATTTCCAGGAAACCCTCCAGGAGACGCTAAAAGAGCAGCTGCAGTATGGGAGGGAGCTTCATGCCCCTGGCATCTCAGAAACCGGGAAAGGGGGGCGAGGCCAGTAGGACCAAAGTCAGCTGAGAGGCCAAGTAACACAAGTTGAAAACGACCTGTGGGTTCAGCACTGGGGGTGCTGAGCACTGTATGTGACAGCTCTCTTGGGGAAGGGGGGAGAGCCAGAGTGTTGTTTGAAGATGTATGAGGTTAGAAGGTACAAGCCAGGGAGGCACCCAGCTCCTTTATAAAGTTTCGTTGCAAAGGGGAGAAATTTCGAGACAGTGTGGCCCCTGCCGGGAGATATGACTCCAAGGGGGACTGGTTGGTTTGGTTGGTTTTCGTTAAGATAGGAGAGGCGAGAGCTTATCTGACTGGTAATGAGAAATGAGCCAGGAGAGAGCAAATGGGTGGAGGCGACCCGAGGGGGAAGACATCCAAAGGCTGCTTTCCGGAGGGGCTGGATGCAGAGCCCCAGTGGGAGGATGGACGTTCTGCTGGGATTGAAGGGAAATCGGGGCACATGGGGTGACACTGGTGGCCTTCGGCTATGGCTGCGGTTTTCTCACTTAAATAGGACACAGAACTGTCTGGTGGCACGGGCCTGGGACGTCATTGGAGACCTGGGGCAAACAGGTGGATCAGATCGGGACTGGAGCAGTGCAGGCTTCTGTCTGCAGCAGCTCTGGGCTTGTCTCATCCTCTGCTCATGCGCATGCTGGGACACATACGTGCACACACAGCATTGTGCACACAGGGTATTTCCAAGCACCGGACTTGCTATGGACTATTGCGTCCTCACCCAATTTGTATGTTGATGCTCTAACTTCCAGTGTGACGGCAATTGGAGGTGGGGCCTTTGGAAGGTAACTGGGGATAGATGAGGTCATGAGGGTGGGGTGTCATGGTGGAATTAGTGTCCTCTGAAGAAGAGACAGCAGAAACCTTGCTTTTCTTGTGCCAAGTGAGGACACAATGAGAAGGTCGCTGTTTGCAAGGCAGGAGGGGAGGGCTGCCACCGGAAACTCAGTCTGCTAGCACCTCGATCTTGAACTTCCCAGCGTCCAGAACTGGGAGGAAGAGGCATTTGTTGTTTCAGTGGTCTGTCTGTGGCATGTTGTTGTCACAGCCTGAGCAGGCTCGGTGTAGACGCAGCTCTGCGTGCTCACACGTGCGCACACAGGTTCCCAGCAGCCCAGCCTCTGTGCACCCGTGTGCCCATCCCTGCATGTGACACACAAGTCCTGGTGATGGTTGTGTAGCGCACACATCCATGTGGTGGCCTGCCCCCTTCTCCCTGCCACCCCCCATTCCTGAGCAGTGTGGCTTGAGTTCATTGCCATTTATTGAACCCTCCCATCAAAGAAAGGGGTGGGGAGCAAGAAAGGGAAGCTGTCTTTGTTTAGGGTTGAGCCAGGGAGCCCGAGAGGACCTCAGGGCAAGGAGGCTGGAACAATGGGGGGAGGTGGCAAGTGGGGCAGGGCTGGACAGAAGAATGGCAAGGCGGGGGCTGAGGGCAGATGAGGACAAGGGTGGGGCGCGGGAAGGCCTGTGGCCGAACCTTTGGGCTGGAGCATGGACCTGCTCAGGGTCCCCCCAAGGTGCCCTCAAGAGCCCAGAGGCAGGCGAAGCCCTGGCTAAGATTCATTTCTGGAGGGCAGGGGAAGGGCGTTCTGTTGCCCTCAGCTGGGGTCCAGGCCCGGTCCACAAGACTGCAGAGGGATCCTCTGGGATGCTTTTTCTGCTTCTGGTTCCTGCTTTGTTTTTTTTGCCCGCCAGGACCTAGGGAAAGAGATCTCAGGAAAAGCCCTGGGTCTGGACCTGCTTCCCCAATGAGGAGTTCCAGTGGGACCAGAGGCAAGGGACTGACCAGGTTTCCATGTCTTGGATAGTCTCTGGCAAGGGCCGATTGAGGGTCTCAGGCAGGAAGTAGGCGGCACTGCCTCCAAGGAGGGTGACGGTCCCAAATATAATACTGGGGATGAAGGGCTGCAACTCCCCTGTGATTTTCACCAGCGGGGCTGACATGCTTCCTGCACGGGTCCACAAGTTGCTTATGCCCATACCTGTTTGCCTTGGGAGAGTCCAGAGCAGGGATTGGCAACCTGTGCGTGGTTCTTAAAGGACAGGTCTGGGCGGGGGCAGGAGGATGTCACAATCCCACCTGACCCCGTATCCTTTGGCTGGGCCAGCCCCAAGCCCAGCACCTACCGGATGACTGTGGGGTATAGCTCGGTCGTGTAGAGGAACAGGCAGCTGAAGGAGCTGGACAGGCAGCCCTTCCCAAACACAGCCAGTACTGTCCTCAGGGTCTGCAAGTCTGCAGTGGGAAGAAAAGGTGATGGGCCTCGGGCTCAGAAGCACCTGAATGTTCTTCCTCCTCAGCGGACTTCGTCTCCCTTTTTGCTTTGGCTGCTGGAAAGCTCAGATCTAAATTTAAAGCTGAGTAATAGTCCTTCTGCTATTTCTAGTGCTTTGCAGCCTGTCCTGCTGCCTTTGTGCTTTTCCCTGGCTCTCATTACCTACTCCCATATTTTGTTGTATATATGCTTGTCCTAAAATAGCTCAAGTTCCTTTGGAAGGATATGGGTGTATCTATCAACACACAAACATCTATATAAAAGTGGCTTTTCCAAGGTCGTGGTGGGGGTAGGCTGTGGGGTCTTCCCTGAGCACTGAGCTCTGTGGTTTTTCCATGCCAGCTCGTCTTCTGTAGCGATGTCACCAGGCCATGCCCGATCCCTGAGCAATCCCCCACACTGGCCAGATACCACCATACTTTGCCCAGGCTGAGTCAGATCTGGAAAGGAGCTTTGATATCATCTAGCCCAACTGAGTCATTTTCTAGATGGGAGACGTGAGCCCCAGAGAGTGCAGGGACCTGCTCAAGGTAACACAGAGAGTTAGGGGCAGAGCCAGCAGAATTGGGATCCTAGGCATGCCACTTCCCAGCCTGTGGCAGCCTGTGATGCCCACGGACATGTTGGGTTCTGGCTTAGCCCTGGCTTCTCACCTGAGGGCACAAAGATGATAGCCAAGATGGACCCTCCTGCCAGGAGTAGAGAACTGGCCTGGGTGACGTGTCGGCCTAGATAGTTTATAGAGAGGACAGTGATGAACTTGGCTGGGATGTCGACCCCACCAAAGATGAGCTGGAGGATGTAGAGGTTGACTCCAAATTCTTCCACACCCATAGCCAGACTGTAGTAGCCAAAACCGGTGGAAAACCTGAGGGGAAGAGAGTGATTGATTGGCACCTGCAGCCAGACTGGGGTCTCTCCCCAAACTGGTCATTGGGTCATAAGGATGATGAATAGTTTCATTTCTTATCCCAGCTGCAGCTGATCAGTACGGGCTGCTGGAGAGCTGTTTTGAGCCCTCTGAAATTGTGTCTGGGCTCAGTGCTGGGATGGATTGGTTCTTTCTGACATGGGCATGGTCTAGGGTGTGGTGGCAAAGATCAACATAATTGACTCCAGAAAATATCAGGACTGGCAGGACTCTGGGAGACCCAAGGAGGTAGTAAATGGTCTCTCTTGGTTGGGTAATAGTTTGACGTCTAGAATGGGAGGGGTGAGAGTCAAGTTGTGCACCTGGGTCAGATGCCTCCCATTTCCCTCTCAGAATCCTGGGATCCCTTTTGAAGTCCCCGGACATATTGGACCCTATTCACGCAGGGATAAAGAAGGGTCTCAGAACCGGGTCACAGAAAGAGCTTTGCAGGAGCTGTAGAATGTCAAACAGAAGAGAAGACTCGGAGAAGCGTGAGGGGCAGCCTTGCTCTGTGGGGTCCCAGAGGGCAGAGCTGGGCCAGTGGGGGCAGTGACAGAGAGGCGTAGAATGGGGAAATTGCCATGGCAGGGATGTGAGCTGTGAGCTGGGAAGGGGTTTGGAGCATTTGCCTTGTGGGTGGGGTGGGCGTGACCTGACAAGGAAGCAGACCCCAATGGCCGGAACTAGGTGTGTGGCAGGTACACAGGAGATTTATTTCCAGGGTTGGGGCTGGGCTGCGGCAGCCCAGGGAGGGAATCTCTTGACTCCTCTTGCAGGTGCCGTAGGCCTTCCCCTTAGGGGAAACTGCCAGAAGCCTTGTTCATAGCCCCTGTTCTGCAGAGGTGCCAGGGTGTGGGCAGCGAGGGGTGGTGGGTTACCAGGCCAGAGAAAGACAACAGGTCACACGGCGCATGTTGGGTGTCCGGAACAGGTCAGCTATGCTGTACTTGGCCTTGGCCAAGGAGATCTCCTTCTGCATGATCAATTTGAGCTCCTTGGGGAAGAGGAAAGAGAGGGGTGCCATTAGTGACCAGCTGGTCGGCAGGAGGAAGAAGGAAAGGAGGTGCGGGCATCTCTAGAGGACTTTGCTTGGGGCATTGGATGTGATGTTGGCTTGTGAGCAGGGAAACAGAGGCGAGAGGAGGGTTCCTGCTCCAGACTACAATCCCTCTCGGCTCCTACCTCCACGCTGAGTTTTTTTCCTTCTTCCTTCTTGCCATTGAGGGCAGCTATCTGCCGGAGTATTTTCAGGGCCTTTGAGAATTTTCCAGAGAGGACCATCCAGCGTACAGACTCTGGTATCCACCTGGGTGCCAGAACCAAGTCACAGTGACTCCCCTCATGCCAGAACCTTTTTTGAGGGACCGGAAGAACATCAACATCAACAGGACCCAGGGATAGGAGGTCCAGAAACCCGAGCTGTTTTACTGCAGATTTCACGGAATTTAAACTTGGCCAAGCTTTGCACCTGGACTGCCTGCTGCCAGCACAAATTCTAGCATTCTCTTCTTCCCCTTCCAGAAGAGCCTTCCCTCTGCCCCCTACCTGGGCTACTTGTTATCGTTGAGTGTCTTCCTTAGCTAGGAGCCTTGGGCCTAGGCCAAGGCAGGTGGATCCTGGGGAAGGGACGGCATGTTCAAGGCTAGATAGGTGGATGATCCTGTACATCCACCTCTCCATCCTTCCTTGGGCCGCCTCCTGGGGTGAAGAAGGAGCAGGGTTGCAGTCCTGGGGCAGCTTGAGAAGGTGGCTCAGGTTAGGGTTATGGCCTAGGGGATGGGTTTGGGGCAGAGGACCAATTCTGCTGTAGTAGGTGCACAGCATGAGGTCCTGGGATTGGCGAGCGGGCAGCTAACCTCACTTTCCCCACCTCCAGGCTGTACTTTTGGGCTTGGTTTGCTCTGAGCAGACCCTAAGTGTCACTAGGCAAAGAGGAACAGAGGGGGAGGAGGTGTGGGGAGAAAGGAATGATATTTTTAAAAGTCCTTTTTGGGGGCATGGTGGTCAGTTGTGGCTGTGGCCTCCACAGGCACCCAGGGCCTGGACTCCGTCCTCTTCTCCCTGAGATTAAGAATAGTGGCTCCCAGTCAGTGAGCCTTCCCGTGGACCAGGCACCCATGACCCTGGGTGATGGGCATTATTATCTTCATTTTGCCTAGGAAAATCTTGAGGCTCAGCGTGGGTGAGGCTTGTCCCAAGTTCCAGGGGGAAGGGGCTTGCACTCTCGGCAGTTCCCTGCTGACCCTCTGCCTTATTTTCTTCCCAATCTCTGCTCCTTGCCTGCTCCCATCCCAGGCTGTGAACATTCCCTAGCTCTACCCTGGACCCTCTGACCACCTCTCTTTTTGCAAGATTGTCCAGACCCCTCTAGGAGATTCTATTCTCATTTTCAAATGGAGGCCCATTCCAGTTCTGTGTCTTTTTGTGTAACCCTGGGGGATGGCTTGACTTCTCTGAACCTCAGTTCTCTCATCGGTCAAGTGGGACAATGATGCCTCCTTCACACAGAGATGCCATGAGGATTGGAATGATTTAGGTGGATGCTTAGAACAGGGCCTTGCACATAGTAAGTGCTCAGTAAAGTGTCACTCTGAGTCAGTTTAAGCATCCGATTCTTGATCTCAGCTCAGATCTTGATCTCAGGGTCATGAGTTCAAGCTCTGCACTGGGTTCCACGCCCAGCATGGAGCCTACTTAAAAAACAAAAAACGAGAAAACTAAATTACATTTCGGAGATTCAGTTCCTGTTTTCAATGTGTCCTTAGGTTTGACGTGATGATAGTGAGCTCTTGACCTATTTGGGGTCTCTGACCCAGACACCTCGATTCTCCCAGGTCCCCAGGTTTGGGCTTTCCTTTCCTTTATACCTCAAATCTACAAGTCCCCAAACCCTGTGGATTTGTCCTTCAAAATGCCTCTCAGACTTGTCCCAGAGGCTCCTCCTGCCCCCACAGTCATGTCCCTTCTCTCTCTCATCCCCACCTCCTTGGGTCTTTCCTGTGCCACCAACAGAAGCTTGGTCAGGCCTTTCCACACTGCAGACACGTTCGGAGGCATTCTCTGTCCCTCCACACGAAGCTGAGGCTCCTTGGCTTTCTGTGTTCTCCAGTCTGGCTCCGTGCCCTGCCTCTCAACTTAGTCCCTTCCTCCCGTGAATGCCCCCCAGACACCTGCTCCTGCAGCACATCTTTGTGTACTAACTCCTCCTCCTTGGAATGCCCTTCCTGACTCTGGGACAGAGGTGTCCTGAGTGGTCAGATTTGGGCTCCCCGTTTGGCTCCGGCGGGCACGTAAAGAGGGAGATGAAGAGGAGAGGGCCACATACCAGGACAACAGGAAGAAGGCGAAGAAGGGAATGGACACGGTTAACTGTAGCCAGCGCCACTGGGGGATGGCATAGGCCAGGCCAGGCAGAACAAACTGGCCACAGGTATAGAAGTAACCTGTTAAAGTTGACATGATGGCCCGCATCTGGATGGACAGGCACTCGACATCTGCAGGAGGAGCCCAAGGACCAGATTAAGATTGTGCTGGGCCCTGGGCCACCTCCCCATGAAGGCACTCCTGCCCACCCCCCATCAGCTACTTGATCTGACCCTGATCCTAAGGGTTCATCGCCCCCATTTTACGGATGCTGTGACTAAGGCTCAAGAAAGTAGGACTCAAACTTAGGTCTATCTGACTTCCAAGCCCACACTTTTTTTTTAAGATTTTTTAAAAATTATTTTTAAGTAATCTCTATACCCAACATGGGGCTCGAAATCACAACCCCGAGATCGAGTCATATGCTCTATCAACTGAGCCAGCCAGGAACCCCTCCCCAAAGCCCACCCTCTTGACTGTCTTTCCAGAGGCAAATGACTTCCCTTCTTTTGCCTCAGTGTCCTTATCTGTAAAATTAGGACAACAGTGTCGCCTCCTTGTGTGTGGACTGAATGGGATCATGTCCCCGGCAGAATGTCAGGCCCGGGGAGGGGGTGGGGTCCTCGGTATTGATTGCTGTTGTCGTTATGCTCAGAGGGGGCCTCTGAGATCCTGAGAGGGGCGGCACGTTATGTGAGCAAGATCACAGGGAACCTGTATTGAGCCAGGCCCTTGGCTTCAGGCTGGGGTCCCTCAAACTCCTGTTCCCTTGCCTCTTCCCCCTATGGCTCACTCAAGATCACGGTGCTCAGGACAATGCCTGAGATGCTCCAGCCACACAGGAAGCGGAAGACCATGTAGATGGAGACGTTGGGGCTGAAGGCTGCACCCGAACCACTGGCTGCCAACAACAGGTAGCTGCAGGTCAGGATGGGCTTGCGGCCAAACCTGGAGCTCAAAGGAGAGGAAGGACCAGGTTGGTCACAGTGAGCTAGCTGAGACAGTGACTCTGCAGGTCTTGGGGCAAAGGGTCGGACCACCTCCCAAAGGGCTAGGCAGGGCATGCATTTCCCTCTTTAGACAGAGCCTGACTGGTAATTGCTATTTTGTTGACAGATTTGCAGTTATAGGTTCAAGTTAATGAGTGATTGGCCTCTAACCTCAGCTTAGCGGCGTGAGCAGAGGTCAAGGGACTTCCCATCTCTAAACAGTCCAAGCACCCCACCTCCATGGCCACACAGGCCACTACGCGGTGTCTGAAAACCTCGAGGCTTTCCCCCAGGGTCTGAGGAGGTGGGAAGACTCAAGTTGGGAGGGGCCTTTGGGGCAGGGAGAAGGCTGTGCCCCAAAAGGGACTGGACTTGCCCAAGGCCACAGAGCAGGGACAGTACTTCCTGCCTCCCCCAGCTCTTTGCCTCTTTGGGGGCGGTGCATAGGTGGTCAGAGTGAGGTGGGATGTCCCTATAGGTTGTGCCTCCCCTCTGGAAGCTCCCCGGTCTCACCTGTCTGACAGGTCTCCTAGCACGATCCCTCCAATCAATGTACCCGCCATGAAGACAGACTGGGCCACCTCCTTCAGTCTTCTGGACTCACACACCAAGTCCCACTGCACAGCAGAAAGGTCGTGCCAGCCTGGCTCGGTCCAGACCGGCCCTCCCAGCCATGCTCAGCCTGAGCCCCACAGTGCCCGCCCGCTCCTGGAGCCCTCACCCGACTTCCCTGAGCCTAGACCCCACTCCCAGGCCCCGTTCTGCGTTCAACCGGGCCCGGGGCTCCTTGGTCTGCCTGTGGCTCTTTGGGTCCCTGACTCGTGGTGTGTAATAACAGTTCCTCTGCAGAGTGCGGCTCCTGTCAGAGGCTTGTAGAATCTGCTTAGCTGTCACTTCCAGGTCTGTTCTCAACTCCTGCCCTCGTCCCCTCCAAGCTTGCCTGCGCCCCAGGCAAGGTCAGGGCCGGTCTGCAGCCTAGGTCTCTCCCTCTCCTCCACGGGGACACTGTTCTATGGTTGACACCTCGCTCCATCCCACATCCTATGTCTTTGTCTCAGATCTCTCCTTCTTGGAAACTCCTTCCGGTCCACATTCACTTTGTTTCTCCTTTCCCTTCAAAGCTGAATCTCTTGAATGAGAAGCTATACTTGCTGTCACCCTGGTCCCATCTCCTGCTCATTGCTCAAGTCCGCCCCTGCCACTCCACCGACACTGTGCTCTCCAGAGCCACCCGTGATGTCTTTTTCACTAAGCCCACTGGAACCTTCTGTAGCCTGCCCTGCCCTGACTTTCGGCAGCCCTTGACGTTGCTGATGCTGACCTCTTCCTCCCCCTCGTCTTCCTCTCTCTATTTACCACTCCTCTTCTTCCTCCATGGGCTCCTTTCTCTCTATCCCTTAAAGATTCCCCAGGGCTCTTGCTGGATCTTCCTCTCTTTTTATCCACTTTCCTGAGGAAACGTCACCTGCTCCTATGGCTTCAATTTTTATTTTACGAGGAAGACTCCAATCCATATCTTCAACCCAACCTCTCTTCTGGCCTGGAGACCAGTCGATTCAGCTGCCTTCTTGGAAATTCTACCTGGATGATGTCTCACGGTCACCTCACTTGTCATCCACTCCTCGATCTCAGTGGCTGGGAGCCCCTCCTTTACCTCATCCTTCTCCAGTGCACCACCACTCCATCCTCCAGTTTCTAACTTCTGAATATTTCTGGAATCTGGATTCTTCGATTTCCACTGCTATCTTAGTGCAAGGTTAATAATAACGGCCGATTTTTATGGAGGGCTTACTATGCACCAGCTCCTGCTATAACGGAGCATTTCCCAAGCTTTAACTTCTTCAGTCCCCACGACAACCTTATGCTGGGGCATGACTGTCATCATCATCCACATGCTACAGATAAGGTGACTGAGGCCTGCTGATGATTATTGTGACGATCTTCAGACAGGTCTCCCAGCCTTCGATTTCAGTTCCTCTTATCCATGCTTCCCCTGCTAACATGAATGGCTTTCTAAAACTCCACTCAGGTCAGGTTCCTGTCTTGCCTAAAGCACTCACTGGCTTCCTCCTGCCTTTTGGGTAAAGAGAAAGCTCTGTTAACACAGATTTATAAAGCCCTCATGCTCTGGCCCCTGCCTTACCTGTCTGGCCTAATCTCCTGCTAATCCCTAACATGCACCCTTTGTCTAGCTGTCCTGAACTACTTGTGTAATGAAGTGGAGAATTTTACTAACTAGAAATGCCCCACAAGAATGTTTTGGAAGTGAAACAGTGTGGGGGAAGAACCTTACATCCCAGGGAGCTCTTTCCACGTCCTCCGCTGGAAATGAGGGGGATGGAGTGGATGAAGACTCTAGGTGCTCCGGCTGCCTCCGGGTGGCCCAGCATGGCCAGCAAACCCAGTGGGCTCTTCTGGCTGAGAAGGGAGCCGGCCCAGTATGTGTGTGGCATGAGGGGAGGGTAAAGGGTGAAGGAGGAAGTGAGGGGGTGTGAGGAGGAGTACGCCAGAGAGTGTCTAGAGAGACTTCCGGTACATTGTGGCATGCTGTGGAAAGCTCCTTTAGGAAAATCTAAAGTAAAGACCCCCTGTCCACCTAAATTCATTCATGCCCCCTCCCCCTTCCACAGTAAACAGCACATTTCCCAGGTGACCCAGTAGCTGAGTAGGGTCATGTTGTTCTTGATGGTGCAATGTGAGCGGAAGAAATGCTTGTTACTTCCATCTCATTTGATTAAGAGAGAAGTCTTGGTCTGGACTTGAATGCCTTCTCCCTTCCTGTTGATGGGAATGGTGACAACTAGAACAACTCAGGAAGCCATGTGTTGAAGATGGCGAAGCTGCTGTCATTCTGGGTCCCTGAATGACTCTATGGGGCAGAATCACCCATAAATACGAAATTCCCACCTTAGAACTATTGCACGAGAAAGAGAACCACTTCTATGCCCTGCAAGCCATTGAATTACTGTTGACTCTTTTGTTATGGCAACATGGCCTCTCCTGATACATCCCACAAGAAGTTGCAAATGGAAATTTGATTCCCCCCACCCCATAGCCTCCATGTTATTTAGTACCTCAAGAAATCATTCTGCTTGGATCCTGAGAGGGTCAGTGTCAGACCCATTTGGATTAGTTTAAGGCTATTGCCCTTCTCCACTGTCTGAGACCAGATCTGCCAGGTCCTAGTTTCTATAAACTACTTGTGGTGAGGTATGCATTAGAATAATGGTCACAAGCCAGTTTCTACTTGAAATTTCAGCAATGTACAGGAAATACCATTTCTAGAATGGGCTTTGACTCATGTTTAAAACATGCCCAAATCCTTATAATGACCCATAAATCCCCGCAGAATGAGCAGATTCATTCCTGTTACCTCTCTGCTCTCATTTGTTACTACTATCTCCCCCATGGACTCTACTGTAGTTGGTCTTCTTGCTGCTCCTTAAGCATGTCAGGCACCTCAAAGTCTTGACATATGGTATTTCCTTGGCCTGGAAAGTTCTTCCCCCAGATAGCCACTTGGCTTGCTCCTTCACCTCCTTGAGATCTTCTCAACAAGAACCTCCTTGACCACCCTATTTAAAATTGTAACTCCCTGCTGTCTACATTACTCCATCCCCCTTTATTTTCTTGATTGCATTTGTACCATGAAATATATTACATAGTTCCTTTTTGTGTGTTTGTTTCTCCCTAAAGATTATCATCTTGATGAGGGTAGAGTGTTTCATCTGTTTTGTTTGCAACTGTACTTCCATTGCTTAGAACAGTGCCTGGCATGTAGTAGGCACTCAGTAAATACTTGTGGGATTGAAGGAATGAGCATTCCATAGAAAGAACAGAGAAATGGAGAATCTTAGTGGTTAAGATATGCTGATGTCTAAAGGAGACATCATATAGGTCATAGGGTCCACATTCCAGATACTACATGGAGGACAGTTTTGCTTTGCCAGAATGAGCGTATGTCAGGATGGAGAGTGTCTAGGCTATATATATAGGATCTATAACCACATTTTAGCAAGAAGGACTGGAAAAACTTCTATGGCAAACTGTCTACTAGGGGATGGTAAAATGAGGGTTTAAAGCTTAGAAGAACTGCTTTGTGGTTAGATATTTAAAAAAATCTTGGATTTCAAAGGGGCACCTGGGTGGCTCAGTTGGTTGAGTGACTGTCTTCGGCTCAGGTCATGATCCTGGAGTCCCGGGATCAAGTCCCGCATCGGGCTCCCTGCTCGGCGAGGAGCCTGCTTCTCCCTCTAACCCTCCCCCCCTCTCATGTACTCTCTCTCTCTCTCTCATTCTCACTCTCTCAAAATAAATAAATAAATCTTTAAAAAAAAATCTTGGATTTCAAATGCACTCTTAGTTGCTCCCAGAGATTTCATGGTTAATAAATCTCATTGAAGCTGATGATAAAACTGTGGCCAGGGTTGCCCTGCCAATCAACACAAATCCATGGGGCTCAGATCTGGGACATGCAACTGCTATGGGTTGAACTGTGTCCCCTGAAAAGACAGGTTGAAGTCCTGACCGCTAGTACCTCAGCATGTGACCTTATTTGAAAATAGCAATGTGGCAGATACAATTAGTTAGGATGAGGTCATACTGGGGTAGGTCTGGGCCCTTCACCCAATATGACTGGTGCTCTTGTAAGAAGAGAAGATACAGACACATAGGGAGGACACCATGAGACATCGGAGGCAGAGACTGGAGGGATGCATGGGTAAGCCAAGGGACGCCAAAGATCACAGACAACCACCAGAAATTGGAAGAGGCAAGAAAAGATTCCTCCCTAGAGCCTTGGGAGAGAGCATCCCTATACCTTGATTTTGGACTTCTAGTCTCTAGAACTGTGAGACAATAGATTTCTATTGTTTTAAGCCACACTGTTTATGGTACTTTGTTATGGAAATTCTAGGAAACAGATACACTGTGTGATTACTGTATGTTTGAAATACCTGTGGGTTTGGTAGGTGGTAATGGGAAGGGGATTGGGAAGGGGATTTCCCTCCGCCTGGCCATGAGGGAACGAGACATAGAGAGAACTGGAGAGATTTTTTAAAGGCATCCTAGAATTCTGGGGGAAAGGAAAGATACCTAGAGACATTTTGGGCATGCTTTTGTGTGGTTGGCTGTAAAAACCCTTGAGAAGGCCTTGTTGAGAAAAGCTGTAACTGAAGCTCGGTTGGTCTCAAAGGTGTTGAGAATGTGGTTTTTGTTTCTTTGACTCGATGCACAGGCTGGGCCACATGGGGTCTGCGATTTTAGTCGGGTTACACTATCGCTAGATTCAGTGTGTGTTCCTCTCTGTTTTTATACTTGTCATCATGTCCTTGTTCTCGTCATGGTGCCAGCCCTTCAGGCCCTGGAGACAGGACAGGAAAGCTCAAGGCCAGAGAAGAATTGGAGGGGCCTTGGGGGACCGGCCTGTGCATCCAAGCCCACTTGGACCCTCAGACTGAGCTGGGCACCCACAGGGCTGAGGTTCAGTGGTGTGGGAGCTGCAGGCTACAGCTCCTCTCCAGGGAACCCAGAACCCACAATCCATGCTCCCCACACTTTCCAGACTTGAAAGAAAGGCCTTTGTTTCCTCTTAATTTCCTAGTAAAGCTCTTTCTGAAAAATTCCAACATTATCTCTGTTGAACTCAGAGAAAGGAATGTGTGGTCGCCTCTGCCAGGAAAGCTTAGGGGATCAGAGGGGGAGGGAGACTCTCTCCACTCTGGCTGGGCCCTGTGCTGTGCTCACTCACAGAGTGGTCCTCCCACCTGTGCCTCCTCCTTCAGAGGGAAGTTCCTTGTTATCCTGTTCTACAGATGTGGGGACAGAAGTGGAGAGGAGGGCTGACACCCCAGGTCACTGGCTGTGGGGGTGGAGCTGGGACCTGCACCCAGGCTTGTTGTTTCCATGAGGGGAGGGGTAGGTGCAAGCTGTGGAGTATGGCAAAGTTATGGGGGCCCAGGTGAACTGGGAAGGGCCGTGACAGCTGATTCCCCTTTTCCTGGGGGTCCCCTACTCTTCTGGTGGGGACAACCCATCTAATCTCAGGACACGTCTATTAGCCATAATAGTGACAACAACAGCAGCCAGCAGCTGCTGACATTAGCTGAATGCTCTGCAGGGGCCCTGTGCCCATGCGGTCCTTGCATGGTCTCCTGTCGGGTTCACCCTTGCTCTCTTCCTCACTTTTACGGATGAGCAAACCAAGACTTCTAGCCTCATGACATTCCTAGTAAAGGGCAGAGTCAGGATATGAACTCTGCTGCTTGACCCTGGCTCACGATCACACGCTGTCCATCTTGGGGGGTGGTCCCTGGCCTCTGCTAACTGGGGTCACCTGGACTGAGCCGGTTGCCAGATGCCGCGCACCTCTATTACCAACCTCTGCCTTGGGGCTGGCACATCCAGATCCTGCCCCCGCTCCAGCGACCCACCTCTAGGTAAGGCCGAGCCACTGTTTTACCCCAGCCTCATGCGGACCTGAACCCCGCTTGCCCCACCCCAAACAGTTGGAGCACAGATTTGCCCCCAATACAGCCGGAAACAGAAAAATTGCTGTGCTGGTAACCAGTGCCTCACTGGCTCTGGCCACTGACACTTTCTTGGCTGGGCAGGGACCCCTTGCATGGGTCCTGACCCCCACGCCTGACCCAGGAAAGGGTACAGTACCCTGAGGACCGGTGAACCCCTGTGTTTGTTGGGATGCGGATCCCCCCCACCCCCCACAAGTGCTGGAATGGTGTCTGGGAACTTGGATGACACAGATGTGAACTGACGCTTGACCAAGTATAAGACCTGCAACCTCTGTTCTTGGCAAGGTTCCCTGGAGGGGAAGCCACTTTCCAGCAGTCAGCAGGGTCTGAGTCCCACCTGCTGGCCTCTGACAGGGACACAGCCTTCATTCAGCATTAGCTGAGCACTTACTATGCCCCTGGCCCAGGGACGAAAAAGATGGGTTGGAGGGGCACCTGGGTGGCGCAGTCGGTTAAACACCTAACTCTTGGTTTCGGCTCAGGTCATGACCTCAGGGTCATGATCTCAGGGTGGTGAGATCAAGCCCCGTGTTGGGCTCCGCACTCAGCACAGGGTGTGCTTGAGATTCTCTCTCTTTCTCCCTCTGCGCCTCCCAATCATTCTCTCTCTTTCAAGATAAATAAATCAATCTTAAAAAAAAAAAAAAAGGATGGGTTGGAGAGACACCTTCCCTGTGCTGGAGGAAGCCGCCAGCCTCCTGGGGCCACAGGGTGCTTGGTCAGAGGGATTGACTGTGCGTGGGCTTAGTCTTAAGGAGCCTGATTGCCCGGCTTTACCTCCAGCTCCACCTTTGATGAAACATGGTGGGGCCGTGGGCCCGGGGGCCAGGGACCTGTGGCTTCATTTCCTCCTCTGTACAAATGGGACAATTAAGGTGTCAGCCTTAGGGTTGTTGTGAGGATTGAAGGAGTTAATAAGGGCCAGATGCTTAGAGCCATCAGGCATGGGGCAAGCACACAGTAAGGGGTAGGGATGACGGTTATGTCACTGCTCCCTGCACCATTGTCGTCTCTCCAGCTAGCTTCTGTGTTTTCAGAGGACAGGGATGGTGGCTTTCACTCCTCCTCTCTGATTTCCCAGGGGCCAGGTGTACAGCAAGTCACTCATACATTTGGAAACTTTATAGGTATTGAGACATCTTTGACTCCCTCCCTGTCCCTCATCTGCATGTCCGTTGGGTCCCCAAGTCCCATGGATTCTGACTTCCTAAACTCTCTGGTATCTATTCCCACTGTCCCTTCCACTCATCCTCGTTTCCGGATCCCAGTGGCAACCTGCTAACCGGTCTCCCTGCCCCTGGACTAGAACTCTCCACCAGCCACTCTCTACCCTGCAGTAAGAGGGACCATCCCTGGAGGGTGATCTGAACGCACCACACTCCTGCACAACACCCTTCGATGGCTCTCTATCGTCTTGGGACAGAGGCTACACCCTCCCCTTAGCTTCCAAGCCGAGCCCCCCTCTTCTCCAGCCCGGTGTCTGGTGGCCTCCACGTTCCACGGCTCGCCCCTCCAGGATTCCCCTGTCTCTCGCAGTCCTGTTTTGTTCTCATCCTGCTCCTGTAACCATGCATTTGCCCCCTCCACCCTCCAACGCTGTTGCTTTGGCCTGGGGCACGCTTGCCCACTCAACCTGCCTGCTTCCTGTCTCCATTGTCACACCCAGTGCAGTGTTGCTGACTCCAAATGACCCTCTGGGGCCCCCCTCCAGGCTGGTTAGATGCCCCGACCCTGGGCTCCCAGAGCACTCTGAGGGTATAAAGCTCCTATCCATTCACTCCATAAATACTGATTTCGTGGAGTGCCTCCTCTGGGCCAGGCTCTGTTCTAGCTGCTGGGGATACAGCAAAGCAGCTGCAGGTCTCTGCCTCAGGAAGCTTGTGTGTTGCATCACAGCACCAGCGGTCCTCGAGGGGTGGCTCTGTCTCTCATTAGAGGGGAGTTCCTGGAGGGCAGGCGGGGAGCAGATAGACTATGACTCTTTGTCCTCGACAGTAGGCGTGTAGTTGTTAGTAAATGTTCGTTTACTACATTTCGGGCACTGAGCTTGGCACGAGGACAAGAAGCAACTATAATATAATCCAGGGGTATGAGAGTCAGCGAGTGTCATAGTTCAGAGCTGACTCTAGGGCTAGATGCCTCTGCTCAGATCCTGAATCTGCCCCTTTGCTCGTGGTGCGAACTTGAACGAGCTCCTTAACCTCCATGCTTCGGTTCTCCAGTCCCATCTGAAAAAATGAGCTTATAATACTAACTACCTTACAGTGTTGTCAGCAAGGTTAAAAGTGTTAATATTTCTAAAGCGCTTAGAACAAGGGCCTGGCACGTAGTACGTGCTTTATGTATAAATAAATATTCATGAAACACACGAAAAACAGTTATACAGACTAGGAACATAGAGAATCTTGGTTTCAAATCCCACCTCTGCCAGGTCCTAAGCGCAGGAAATCCTGGGAAAGTTGTGGAACCAGGCTCTGCGTGCTGTCGCCTGGGATTCCAAGAGCCCTCACCCTCAGCACGCCCAGCGCAGCCTTGGGGCAGGGTAAACACTTGGAAATGCAGCTCTCCTAATGGGGCAGAAGCAACATCCCGAGGGACTCATGGTCCCTGAGGGGAGAATGAAGACGGTGGCCTCTCTGTTCCCAGCTCAGATGCCACGCCTCCTCCGGGAAGCCTCCCTAGAATCCTGCGGTTCGTCCCTCTTTCCTCCTGCCAACTGCTATAAACATCTATCCCCCTCTGTGCCTCTTAGGGGCATTCGCCTTAAATCCCAGTTCCAAAACTGACCAGCTGTGTGATACTGGACCCTCACTTCCCTTCTCTGAGTTTTGTTCTTTTTGATCTGTAAAAGGAGCTAACATCACATTTGACGGGATATCGCTGTGAGAATCACAACGTCTGCAAAGCGCCAAAATGTGCCTGGCGGATTGCAGATCCTCCCTAAATGCCCGTTCCTGGTTCTTCCTCCCCCTCCTGTCTCCCCCACCGTGGTCTCCTGACTGGCCTGTCAGTTCATCCAAGGGTCAGATTTACTTCTGTCGGTCCCCGGGACGGCAGGTGGAAGAATCGGGAGATTAGTAAAGGGCTGAACACATGGCAGGTGAACCCATGAGTAACTCTGGGGGCTTGGGGGGTGCACTGGTCCCTCCCCCACACACCCTCCCTTCTTGGGACCTTCCAACAAGATGGAATTTCCTTCCTTTTCCTTGTTGCCTGGCGAACTCTCGAAGTTCGAACTATCTCAGCTCGAGGGCCACTTCTTCAGGGAAATTGCCTCCCGGCCTGACCACCCCCCCAGCCCCCACACCCAGCCCTAAGTGGCCCTAGTCTAAGGTCACAGCCCTAAGTACTTTGAAGTTGTAATTTTACATTTCTTTATGTGGTCCTTTCGTCCCGCAGGGCTGTGGACCCCGTGGTAGTGGGGACAGTGCATTTTTGTGTCCTCAGAGCTTAGCACTGTGCCTGTCACGGGATGGGCTGCGTGTTGAGGAAACGCTGACAACTCTAAACGGGACAAAACTGAACTTTCTGGTTCATTTGCATCTGCACCCAGGTCCTTCCTCTCTGCCTGCCCAGTGCCCTGTCCTCGGGTCCCAGTCCTAGGGAGACTAGAGCCTAGCCTCTTCTCCTGTCCCTGAGCGCGGCAGGGTGTGGGTTTCGTGCTGTGAGTGAAGGAAGAAGGGCTGCCTCTGGGCATACCTCAGTCACAATGGAGTCCGCGGTGCTGAGGTCATAGGCCCAGCCGTCCAGGCACGGCTCGGTGGCCCCCTGGGTGTCATTGGGCACGGTGGCGTTGGGCGGATGGATGAAACGGAGGCACTTCTCAGCCTTCCCATTCAGGCCCTTGGGGAGCACCCAGGGCCCTGTGGAGGCGTTGGGGGGCGGGCGACAGTGGTGGTCCGGCGTGGTAGCTGTGAAGATCTGCAGCAGGTAGTGGTTGGCCAGGCCGAGGATTGGGAGGCTGAGCAAGATCGTGTTCAGGAACTGGAAGGGGCCCTTGCTGCCCACTCGGTCCATGAGCTCAGAGAAGGCCATGGTACAGTTCAGGATGAGCCAGAGCTTCAGGCAAGGCACCTGGCCAGGGAGAGGCAAGTATGCACGTGGTTCTGTGCCAATAAGTGGGTAGGTGTGGAAACACCATGGAAGGGTGGGCCAGGTGTAGCGTGAGCACAGCGAGTGCATACCTGTGTACGGGTGTGGGGCTCAGGTGTGTGTGGTCACACGGGGATACAGGAGGACATACCCAGCGGCCTGTCGAGGCATGGGGCCACCGGTGTGGTGTGTGTCCAGGTATGTGTGCACAGGGGTGTCTGCTGTGATGTGTCTTGAGGCTGGAGTGTAAGGTGCAGCTGTGTGAGCTTGGGAGTGTGTCTGTGTGTGAGTGTGTGTGAGTGAGTGTGAGTGTGCTCTGTGAGGCTGCTCGCACATGCCGCGTGCATGGGGTGATGCAGGCCCCACAGCTGGGACCCAGGGGCCTGGTTGTGGCCATTGGCAACAGGGGCCGGATGGTGGGGGGAGGTGGGGAGGCCCCTGCTCACCCTGGGCAGACACACAGGCTTAGCAGAGCCCAGGTTGCCTGCTGGGAAGGTCTCCCCAAGCCCAGAGCTTCCTGGCTTTTGGGGCTGGGTCCACCAGACTGGGTGGTCCACCAGAAAGGGCCCAGGCAGGTCCCAAAGGGCATAAGGGACCCAGGCAGTAGCAGTAAGGAAGCAAGGCCAGACCTTGGGGGCTTCTCAGGGGCCTATGGGGGCCGGGGCTTGGGTGGGGGTCCCGGTTCCTCCTCACCTGGTAGCTGGGCCCGGCTCCCTCCGCTGGGGCTGGTGGTGGAATGTGGCTGAAGCCCTTTGTCTGTCCCAGGGTCCGGCAGCAGCTGCTGTATTTGGGCAGCTCCGCTCCAACAAGCTATGTTTGTGCCTTCCCCAGGGGGACTTATATAAGGCATTAAGTTCCCCAGGCTAATGTTTGACTTTCTTTTGAGAGTTAATGGTGCCAGCAAGGGAGGGTGCCGCGGACGCACGCTTTCTTCAATGGGCTGCCTCAGCAAAGGCTGGGTGGTGGTGTGGCTGAGCCTAGCAGGGTTGCTGGCCAGACAGAGGGGCAGGTAGGTGGTCGGGTCAGGCTGGCCTGAGGAAAGTCTGGGAGGGGGTCCGGTCTGAGTCCTGAGGACCCAGGGTCATCTCTGTGAGGATGGTCTGTGGGCCCAGAGCTCAGAACAGCTCTGAGAGGGGTGTTGTGTCCGTGTGGGCAGAAGACATTCTTCCGGGCACCACTTCCCCTGCCTGGTGCCTCCCAAGAAGGGGCCTGGAGACTTGTCTCCTGGGAAATGGCAGGGAAGGTCCAGCTGAAAATGTCTCGGGTGTCTGTCCCTGAGGGCTCAGGGCTTATCATCAGCCGGGCTCCTGGGCAGCCAGGGCTCCCCTGTCTGAGTCTCAGGCTCAGGGGAACAGCCCCTTTCCATCTCCACTCTCCATGGACAGGCTCCTCTTCTGATCAACTGTGTCCCTTTGGGGACAAATCATGGTCCCTCGTGTTTTGTTCTTTTCTCTGAATTATTTTAATTCCATAATAATGTTTTTCTTGCATAAAACATGGGGAACATAAATAGGCCAAACAAAACCAAATATCCAGCCTCACCTGACAGCCAACCCCGTGTGCTTTCTGATGTATGTTCTTCCAGACCTTTCCTCCTCAGGGACTGTGGTCTAACCCTCATTCTTTAGCAGCCAACAGGAGGCTCAGGTAACCTCACAGCAGCCCCGTTACTATTCTAAACTTTGTAAATTAGGAGACTAAGGAAGAGAGAGGTTAAGTAACTTGCTCATGGCCTCCCAGCCAGGGAGGGCAGGGGCAGTGTGAGCCAAGGGGCCACTGTGCTACACTGTCTCTCCCTTAGCAAGGTCACCTCGGTGGGCTTTCAATGTCACTCTTGCCTGCCTTTAGCTCTCTGGTTCTACCTGCAGGGACTCTGGGGAGCTGCCCCGTCCCATCTGCTCCAGGAGCTCAGGAGGGGCCCACCTAGGGCTCCCATTCTTGGTTGGAGAGGGGGCTTCCCATTCTCCCCCTCGGCCCCCTTCTCCACCCGGGCAGCGTCCAGCTCCCTGGCTCAGGCTGGCCTCCGCCCCCTGAAGTCTCTCCCAGCCCCTCACCACCACCCCCTCCCGGGCGGGGTCAGCCACTGGGGCTCTGCTCCCCACCTGGGCCCAGCAGTAATTGATGTTCTCAGAGTGGCCTGAGGCAGGGCGAGATCCGGAGTCATCAAAGGAAGATTAAATTATGCTCCGATGCAGCCAAGGGGTTGTTTTAGGAAGGTTTTCGACTGTGAGGCTTGCAGAGAGCTGAGTCGCCGCTCGAGCCCCCCTGTCCTGGGCATTCGCCCCCTGTGAGATTTTCTGATGCTTAATTGGGCATGGGTTATCCGTCTGTTCCTGTCCTAGTGGAATGTTGTTTAAAGGAGCCTGGTGACTTCCCGTGGAGGCCGATGGAGGTGAGCCAGAGTATAGATGTGCAAGCCCAGCCAGGGGCGCGCCCAGCCCCCAGTGCATATGCTTGGATTCATGGTATCTGACCTAAGGAGTTCTCTTAGGCCTGCGGGGATTGTGTCATGCACTTGCTGTATGACCTTGGGCAAATCACCTCCCTCTGGGCCTCTCATTTCTCTCCATTAGTTAAGTGGCTTACACACACACACACACACACACACACACGCTCCAGAAATTTTTTATTCAAACAGTATATTGGATTTGTAAGATCAATATACAAAGCAGATGTGAGAGGAGGTGGTCTGGCTAAAGTGGGAAAGAAGTTGGACAGAAAGCGGCCCCTTTGTCACCCCCGCCCACCCTGGCTCACCCTTTCCTTTGGCATCTTCTGCCCCCGGCCCACTCTGCCAGAGGCATCTCCGTTATATTAGAGGATCCACCACTTCTGCCTTGCTCTGATACTAAATCGAATATGTGGAAATCAACTTTTTTTTTTTTAAAGAAATGTTACATATGGGAAATCTTACATGCTAAGTGCATTTTTAGCTCGGGATATGGAAGTGTCGTTTTCTTCTTTTCCTCCCTCCCCCTCCCTTCCTTCTCCCTTCTTTATTTTTCTCTTTCATCCCTTCATCTTTTGTCTGAACCCTTCCCGGTGTCCTTTTAGCTGCACTGAGCTCAGTCGGTGGCCCCCATCCCTGCTGGGCCCCAGCACAGGCATGTGTCTTCAGCTGGAAGGGCCCAAGGCTTCAACAAGTTCAAGTCCAACGTCCTCACCTTACACGCAGGGAGACCAAGGTTCAGTGAAGGAAGGAGCACACATCTGACCCTCGGCTTCCCGGGCTTCTCTGCACAGTGCTGTCTTTCTAAATCCTCAATTCGCTGAAGCAGAGGATGCACCATGACAAGTGAAAGAGGCAAATCTTACTCTGTGGGAGCAGGGTGGAGTCTGGGTGTTCTGGCCAATTACGGGGACCATGCTGAACTCTCTGTGGATCATCCACTCTCCTACCCACTCACCTGTTCATTTGTTCATCTCTCCATCTGTCTGTCCGTCCGTCCCTCCGTCTGTCTGTTCATCCACCCCTCCATCCTTCCAATTTGCCTCATGCCTTGTATGTATGAGGCCCCAAGCTAGGAGCTAGGGTGTCTTCTCTACCCTCCTGTCTGCTTGTCAGAGAAAATAGCAGCCCAGAAACAATTACAGCACCCAGGAGATTGGCCTCAACACCATGGGAGAAGTCCATGCGGTTCTAGTCCTTTCCAGAGAGGGAAAGAGTGACTGGGTTTGATGGATCAGATTATGGTGGGTTGCCCAGGTGGTATTTTTTACACTGGGTTGGATGATTCGGAGGTAGAATGGGGAGGGACCAGCAGACTCAGGGGTGTGAGTGCAGGCACTTTTGGGGAAATGGGAGGTGAGTTGGATAAACAGTGTGGACAGAACTTTCTTCCCACCCTGGTGGAGGCCTTGGTCCCAGGGGCTGGGACACACATAGCTGTGATAGTCTCAGAGGGGCTGATGATTCTCTGCGCTTCTCTGTCCCTGTGCAGGTGGAAGTGGGGAAGATCTTGAGGCTGTGGCTCACCAGTGGAGTCATGCTCTGTGGTGCCTAAACTCACCGTGTGCAGTCTGGGTCTCTTGCCCCTCATAAGGGTCCCATTCAGTTGGGGGGCCATTCGAACCCTCCAGGTGCGGCTGCCTGCCTGCCTCCTCACTAACCCATCATGGCTTCAAGTCAGAAGCCGCAGCATGTTTGGGGGTGTCCTGGGGCTCAGACTATGTGCCTAGGTGGGCGTGGAGAGATGTTCAGTGAATTCCCAAAGGCCAAGAGCTATTCCTAGGGCTTCATCATTGGCTTAGGGGCCCCAGATTCAGTCCCTGTCTTTGGGTAGCTCTTAACAGAATAGGTGGCCTGTATGGTCCTGGACAAGGGATTGTCCTCTGCCCTCAAGCCCTAATCAGCCCTTCCTTTCCTTTCATTTATTCTAAAATTTCCTTCACAGGAACAAGGCCATCCAAGGAAGAGGGTTCCTACATGCTTGAATTGGAATCTCGCTAGTTGTTTGGTCTTGGGCAGGTTGTGTCACCTGGTTAAGCTTTAGTTTTCCCACTTGTAAAATGAGGATTAATGCCTACCTTATAGGATTGTTGGGATTTTAAATAAAGTGTATAAAACCCTGAACACAGTGCCAAGCACGCAGTACTGAATTTGAGGGTCAGTCCCAAGGGAACGGGCTTCAGGAAGCCCAAGCAGTCCCAGAAGAAGAGGAGGAAGAGGAAAGGTTGCTAGGAGAAGGGAGCCCATGAGGGGTGCCCTTTGGCCCTGGGGGTCGCAGGTTGGAAGGGTTTCCAGGTGTCGGTGGAGGGGGGGCTCTTGAGGTTGTCCTTGAGCACCTGGAGTTTTTCCTGGCCCAGCCAGTCACTGCCGAGCCCATCATGTTGCCAGGCAGGCTGGGGCGCAGCTGTCACCCCAAGTAGGAAAGGTCAGGGGCAGCTGTCACCCCAAGTAGGAAAGGTCAGGGACACAGCTCCCAGGATGGCGGAGGGACTGTGCTCAAGCAACTGGAATCCCCAGCCCAGGGCAGGCCCCAGTGGCGCTCCCTGCTGGTGCACATCAGGAACTGTATCTCTCACCTCTGGGGCATGGCCTGGAGTTCCCAGGGCCCACCTGCCACCTGAACCCCGCACAGAGAATGGATGTCTGTTGATCTGTAAACCCCCACACTGGACGACTGCTCCAAAAACCTGAGGGAGGGGACCCCCTGGCTACAGGCTGAAGCAGCAGATGTCTCAGTCCCCATGTCCCTGGCACTGCTTTCTGCTCATGAAATGTCTTAAACCAGGGCTGGCCGACGCAGGTGCCCACGGGGCCAGGTGATGTGAATGAGTGGGGTGGGCTAGGTGGGCTAGGTGCTTGGAGAAGTGCACAGCGCATGTCCAGTCTGAAGGGGGCAGCGGTGCTCAGCACCAGCTGGCGTTGCCATGGGAATATGCAGGCTTGGGGTTGCCAGAGCTTCAGATATTTTAAAAATAGCTTGAAATCTGGACTTTGTGAAATTTTCCAATTGTGTAGGCGACCCCTCCTCCCACCTTCTGGAATCCCTTTGTCTTTTCTGCTTCTACCACCCATTGGAGCCACAGACTCCATCAAGTGATTCCTTGTAGAACAAGGGAGGATTTCCTTGGGTTTGTCCTCACACGTACTCCCTGCTGGACCTCAGGATTTGGTTAGCAGGGCCTTCCAGTGTTTGTTCATTCAGCAAACATGTATCCGGCACCTTCTTTGAACTGGGTCTTGTGCAGAAAGGTGCTGAGGATGGGAGAGGTGAAAAAGACACAGAATGTGGTTTTGAGGGGCCACAGAGCCCTGGAGGGAGAGTGGAGGGGACAGGCATCCATGG